TGGTTTCATGTGATGTTTATTCTGTGTGAAGATTCAGAACCAGTCCCTCTCTCACCTGCGCTCTAGAGAATACAGATTTAGACCTTTTAATAGGTCCCAATAATTTAATGCTTTATAGAGTGGATTCTAGCAGTAAAGGATCGTTGCACTCTCCAGGTCAGCAATTTCTCTGGCTTTGAATCCCCCGTGTCCCCCCATTCCCTCTCTCCCCCCCCCCCGTCTCCCTTCCCTCTCTCCCACCCCTTTCTCCCTCTCTCCCACCCCTTTCTCCCTCACGTGTCCCCTCACCCTCCTACGTGTCCCCTCCCCCCTCAGCTCGTGGGATGGCTTCGTCAGCACCCATCTTGCAAAGCAATCCACGAGCACTGTAGGGTATAAAGTATCCCAGTGCTTGAAGTAGGCTAGGGCGTAAGGGTCTATCTCTCGCCTGCCTCGCCCCAGCATGTGTCGTCACCGCATCCCATCCCTAGAATGTCTTCAAAGCAGATTTTATCTTTCATCAACAATTTGCACACGCGGTAGTTTAACCGCCTTTACCTCATTTGACCTAATTTCTCTATAACGAAACCTGGCTTTGCCAGGTATCTAAACGAAATTGTAAAAAACTTGAATTTTCTCGTCTAATTTTTAGAATTCCCCCCCACAAAGTTATTGTTTTTACGTCATTCCACTTGATTTTTTTCCCCACATTTTCCGCCAAAGAGTTAATTTTTAAGTCCAGAACTCTGCCAAGATGCTCCCCACGCAAGTTTTATCCTATTGCTTCGCTGCACGATTTCCCTTGCAGAAGGACTTGGATCCATTTCTGTACCTTGGCAATATTTTTCAGGTGACGTCACCCTGGTAGAACTGTGGCGGGTGGTGGTGGTGGTGGTAGTTGGTCGCTTGATCATTAGTCACAATCACAGTCGCACTTTGTTCCTCCTCTTCCCTCCCTCACTACATCTTCCTTCCCCATCCACCACGCAGGTCTGCCAACCCATCACCGCCCACCCTCCACCAACTTCACTCTTCTTCCTCACTATTACCTCCCTCCCTCGATCCCTCCCTGCACCATCGCCATCCTCCACACCTTCATAGTATCATCCGGGTTCCTGTTCGTGGACTGTCGGCAGGGAAATTGAAGAAAATAGACTGATGGCATCTCAAAGGAGATAAAGTGACGGGCCTTTTGAGTTGAACGGAGAGATATATAGCTTGGGTGCTCGTGGGTGATGATGTCGACTCAACGCACGTACATGGTGTGTGTGTGTGTGTGTGTGCACACACAAGCAGGCGCACTCACGCACTCGCGCGCAGCTCTCATCCTGTAACTACACTTAGGTAATTACACACAGACAGACACACACAATTCTCTATTGTCAATTCTCAAGGGAATTGATAGGGTAGATAAAGACAGGATATTTAACACAAGGTGCACACGCACTAGGGGACACAGGTGGAAATTGAGTTCATAAATGAGCCTCAAAGATATTAGAAGTGATGTGGTGGAGGCTGACTCCATACACAGTTTCAAGTGTAGATATGATAGAGCCCAATAGGCTCAGGAACCTGTACACGTGTTGATTGATGGTTGAGAGGCGGGACCAAAGAGCTAAAGCTCAACCCCCGCAATCACAACTAGGTGAGTACACCGGTGTGGGGGGCCGGTGGCTGACTGAACAGCACGCTGGGCGCGTGATCCTGTAGTCCCCGGGTTCGATTCCCGGCGCCGGCGAGAAACAATGGGCAGAGTTTCTTTAACCCTGATGCCCCTGTTACCTAGCAGTAAATAGGTACCTGGGAGTTAGTCAGCTGCTCCGGGCTGGTGATGTGCGTGTTAGAGAGAAATGTATATACAATATTACTATACTGTATATACATAATAGAGGAAAAATAGATTGGTTAGAAAGGTGGGATCCAAGAGCTAATGGCTCAATTCTGCAGGCACAAATAGTAAATACAGATGGAAACTTAGTACCCAAATGAGTCAGAGACATTAGAAAGATTTTTTTTAGTGTCAGAGTAGTTAACAAATGGAAACAATTAGGCAGTGACCAAAGAGCCAATGCTCAACCCCTGCAAGCACAGCTAGGTGAGTACACAAGTGCAGCCAAGCAGACAGCATTGGTGAGTCCCAGTCCACGTACCCGGGTTTAATTCCTGGCCGAGAATGTGGGCAGTTTCTTTCACCTGATGTCTGTTCATCTAGCAGTAAATGGGTACCTGGGAATTAGTCAGCATTTGCCGGTTGCGTCCTGGGAAGGTCGTCAGTAATTGACCTAGCGGGACCACTATAATCCTAACAGACTTACTGTCCCTGATTGTGAGGAAAACCATAAGGGAATCATCCTTTAATTGCATTGATATATATATGCGGTGATGGGAGCACCTCTTAATATAGACACTGTATGTTGCTATGTACAGTACATTAGAAATATTGTCAGAACAACCCTGGACATATTCAAGATAAAGCTAGATAGTTTTCTTAAAGAAGTTCCAGGCTGTGGTGGATATGTGGACCTGCGGGGCCACTCTCTAAACAACAGCCTGTTGGACCACGCTCTCACAAGTCAGGCCTGGCTTTGGGCTGGGTTTGGGGAGTAGAACTCCTCTCAGAACCCCATCAAGCAGGTAACATGTAAACAGAACAGTTACATATCATGCACACATGCCATTTTCTCAGGACATTGTGCAAGTGTGACAAAAGACAGAACGAGAGTATCTGTTATCGTGGCATTTTATGCTGCTGTAGCATACTGATGCTGTTTGGGCACAAGGCTTTGATGCGCTATTTGCATATGTGTTTGGTTGAACCTTCACTGATTAAGTTTCCCCTAGATGAGTATTATAACTTTATAATTATGGTTATGGAGACAAGATTATTGTATTCCTGACACCCCCAACCCAAAGCCTGCGTCTCTTACCTTCTCTTGAGGTCATCTTGAGATGATTTCAGGGCGTAACATTTTTGCGGCCCAGTCCTCGACCAGGCCTCCTTTTTGTTACACTCCCCCAGGAAGCAGCTATCTAACTCCCAGGTATCTATTTACTTCTAGGTAACAGGGGCATCAGGGTGAAATAAACCTCTGCCCATTTGCTTCCGCCTCCACGGGAGATCGAATCTGGAACCTCAGGACTATGAATCCGAAGCGCTGTCCACTCGGTTATCAGCCCCTCCTCCCCCCTTGCGCACATCACTGGCACAGAGAGAGAGATAGAGAGAGCGATAGATATACACTTTTGTGTAGTAAATATAAAAATATGTCAGGATCAAGCATTAGAGAACTGACAGTTAGAAAGGCAGGGTCCAAGAGTTAATGACTGGATCCTGCATACAAACAAATAGTAAATATACAGTATTTTGGTTACAATGGCGACCATGTTCCACTCACTGACCTAACTATAGTGGCTCTTGCTTCACTCGCCTGGTTATAATGGTTTCTATGCTACAATTGCTTGTGCAGCTATACTTTATTTTTGACATAGGCGAGTACAGAAGTACAGTACTTTAATGGATCCGGTGCTCAACTTGCTTTGCTAAATGGACTCTAGGGTGGTGCTGAATTCATGTATATGATGATAATGGCCCATCCTGTCCCAATTGCCTTCCTTTAATGACTATTGCTCTTCTCGCCCAATTCTAGTGGTATATGTGCATAAGGTGACCATTCCTCAGGATAGCCCTCCATGTCAGATGTTCACTACACAGGACACTATTGGCTCTTTTGGAAGAAATACAGTATTATCATGTTTGTGAGGTGTCCTCTGCACAAGTCCACCATGGCCTTTCAAAAAGATGACCCGACATGTCACTGAGGTCTGCACTGAACATATCGGGAACCTTGTTAGTGGAACCTGCTGGAGGAAGCCAGACAAGGCCTCAAGCAGGGGATAAGAGAGCCATGGGGATTACGCTTTTTTTTCTGGAGATGTGGGAAAGTAGGGGGGAGGGATTGAGAAGACAAGGGAGAAACTGTAAGAGAAAAAAAGAAGAATAACAAAGAAAAAAAAAAGTTGGATAAATATTTGGGGGTGGGGGGTGGAAATAGGAGTGAAGAAAAAAGAAATGCGAGCGATGGAGAATTGCGAGGGTGGAAGTGGAGCATTTGATACCATATCCAATGTTTTTATCATACAAAGGTGTAAAATATGTCCCTCTTGTATGAATATTTCCTTTCAGCTTCGTTACTGTGTAATAATATAGTAGGGAAGCAACGTGGTTGTATTAGACGTGTTGATGTTCGCCACGGTTTGCTACATTTGCATATAGACAGCACTGTATATTCAGCTTTTGTTTAGGCGAAGTGCTCGTCTGACAGCATCTTGTCGTCTTGTCTTATGATGAAAAGGTTTGAAGACTGGTGTGGGGGAGTGAGGGGACCTGGGGGATTGTCACCAATGTGAAGAAGCGGGAAATTCGGTGGAGCGAGGGTGGGATAGGGGATGGATAGGCCAGGATAGGGGATGAACTGAGGCCAGGTTCAAGCCTGGCCTCGAGCTGGGCTTGGGGAGTAGAAGAACTCCCAGAATCCCATAAAGCAGGTATCAAGCAGGATAGTTTAAGGGGACAGTAAGGGTAAAAGAAAATAAATTTAAATAAATTTGTTGCAGAATGAAGGTTAGCCATCCTACAAAGAGAACTAGAAATAGCTATAGAAACCAGCAATATTGTCAATGTGGCTGGTGTATTCAGAACAGGATAGCCCTTGCACATTCCTTCCTTCTGCATCTAAACGCCTTGCTTCATTGACGGCTCCATAAAACTGTACTACAATCATGTAATATTTGTTTTGCTGCAGTTTATAAACCTACCTTCCTTCGAAGAACAGTACTCCTTTCATAGACGGATCTCATACTGTGCAACTGCACTGCCTGATGTGTGGGATAAACAACTTACTCTCATGTTCAAAACACAGCTGCTCCTTTTCATCTTAATATTGTACTGTATTGCAACTTTTGTGTGATAATTGAGGCTGGGTTTTTTTAAGACTACTTACAGACTTTTCTTTTTGTTGCAGGAAGTGGGCAGCATCATCGGCAAAAAGGGAGAGATTGTTAAGCGGTTCAGAGAAGAGGTGAGTTGCTCAGACTATTTTTAGTGCATACAGTATTGTTCTGTTAAATGCTAGCAAGGTAGTTAATAAGCAACCAGTATTCATGTCATACATTAAAAAATCCTCTTATTTGCAGAAATTGGTAAATTAAATTTACTACAGTAGTTCCTGCAGGTTGCATGCAATAATACTCGGGCTAATCAGACTGTCACCAGAATAGGTATATAGTTATTAGCCCAGTTATGAGATTGTTAAACAAATGAAAATTAAGGTACATTTGAAACTTTTGAAAATATCCGATAATAATTTTTAAATTTATTGCGAAACTTCTTGGGACAATTTCAGGTAAATCTATAGTATTTGTGAGACCTAAACGAGAATGTGGTCATATGATGTCCATATAATAAAAATAAAAACAATAAACAAGACAAGGTGCAAATCATTGTCAGAGCATGCTCCAGGGGAAATGTAGTAGAGTAAGGCTTAACATGAGCTACGAGAAAGGCAAGCTAACAGGAATCGGAAGTCATCTACCTAGCCGAAGTTCAGACAAGCATGGGCAATATACCTGTGTAGCCAATCTCAAATTCAAGAGAATTCAGCAAACTAATTTTTAATAACAAACTGATTAACAGGGAACAGTTAAACCAAGATCTCGCAGAAATATGCTGGAAAGAACACGTACATAATGCAAATCTAAACCAGTGCTTACACTAAAAAAAAAATCTAAATTGCTGGGACTGATTAAAAATTATAAATCTGTATTTTCTAGAGCGCAGGTAAGAGAGATGCATAATAATTCACATGTGGAAAATATTAGAGGGACTGGTTCCAAATCTGCACACAGAAGAAACATCACATAAAAAAACAATAGGTATGGCAGGATGTACAAAATAGCCCCATTCAAATACAGAGGTGCAATTGAAATTGAAATTGAAATTGAAATAAGTTTATTGAGGTAAAATACACACAAAGGGATGAGGTAGCTCAAGCTATTCTCACCCCATTCAGTACAACGTGTTAATATATACATACACACATTACAAATAAACACATTACCAAACATTCTGAGAGGTAAAAATATACATTTCCTCCCTCACAAGTAGTATGGTATCAGACGTACACATAAATACTTTTATGACCTAGGTATACTGTATAGACAATTTAGAGGTGCAATAGGTATGTTTAGAAAACTCTTAACATCAAAAGACCCAAGACTTTTCAACACTCTCCCACTACACATAAGGGGCATAACTGGCTGGCCTCTCACTGTGTTCAAGAGAACTCTATAACACTTCTAAAGGATACCTGATGGACCTAAGAAACAACAATTTAGGAGAACCTGGACTGTATCTGGATGGGGTTCTGGGAGTTTTTCTACTCCCAAGCCCGGCCAGAGGCCAGGCTTGACTTGTGAGAACTTGGTCTGACAGACTTCATTGTGACAGGCGGTTGCTTGGAGCGGCCCACAGGCCCACATACTGTATCCATTACAGCCCAGTTGGTCCAGCACTTCTTGATGAAAACTATCAAGTTTTCTCTTGAAGGTGTCAGAAGAAACAGTGTTAAATGTCAAAACTAGTTCATAAGAAAAATAAGAGGCAGTATGATACCACATACAAAGTACAGTAGTGACAAATGAAAACAATTAAGAAAATAAGATGGCAATTAACTTACGTGGAAGAAGGAACTGAAGAAGGAACATGGCTCTCATATCAGAGTAATAGAAAGAGGGATTATGTTAAATGAGCAGATAGTGTGTGCCAACCCCACGATTTCTTGCCGCCGAAGGCGGCTAGTTTATTGTGCACCCCATACTCATCCTTCAAAACCTATGACAAAAGACTATAGGACGATGGGGGTGCCTGGGTGCAGCTCACATGCTGCACATGTGTGCAATCATGTCAGAAACTAGAGAGATTCCACTATGGAGCAATGAAAAGTACCTGAACCAAGAACAATGGTATTCAGAAGGCAGCTAGTACATGGCTAATATAAAAAAAAAAATGGGGTGTAAGTACAACTTCTTTGTACTTACAATATATTACAAAGGACTTACTAAATTGCCAGCTAGTATCCTTCACTTTCTGGCAATTTAGTACCTCCTTTGTTCCCCCCCCTCCCTTTTTTTAGATAATTGTTAGATAATGGAAGAGATTAGATAATGGATGAGAAGTAAGAGACGGAAATAGATCATTAGGAGGAAAAGGTCTTTATAGAGCAACAATAATATGACTTTTCTTTGATCAGGCAATGGGTATGAGGAACTTCCATATCATGAATATTAAGGCAGAGTTGTTAATGAGACTTCATTGTGGATGGGGAGGAAAGTAACCGAGAGAAGTAGGGCACTGGTGTTAGTATTAGTAAACTGTTATATAATCACAACCTGGTTAATTGAAGGTCAACAATCACAACCCTCCACCTTCACAACTCACAAGGTCCAACAATAATTGACCTTGTCAATAATCACAACCTTCTCAATTGCTGGTTACTGCAGGCACATCTTGTCATTTTATTGGCAAAATTGTGTCTACAAATGAATATTTCTGCCAGTCTTTAACTAAGGACAGTCAGAATTTGAAAACCACTGTGATGCCCGTTTTCTTGTATTGTCCGATTCCCATTGGACGTTAGCCCTGTTTTGAATGTCTTTCCTTTGCCAGTAAGTTGGTCTGCGAAGGTTTCTTATGTGATCGGAAGGATATTACACATTTGTTAATTTTTCTGGCTTGTTTTTGGCCTCTTTTGCCACCCGACATTGATAGCCAAATTATGGCTAGTCCAAAGGCTTGATCACATAATGCAGGTGCATGAAATGTGCTTGTGCTAGAGATTCGATATATGTTTGTGAAACCATTTGCTTGGTTATTCATCTTGTCTTCCACCATCTCTAACTCTCCATCTCTTCCCCCCTTTCTGTCTCTTCAGTGATTGAGCGAGTAAACAAGTAAAGTACATATAGGCGAGATTTCACATATGCACATAACACCCACACAGAAAACCACAAACATCCCACCCCTCACTGTCCTCGGTTAGCCGACTGTGATTTGACGTCTCTTTTTAAAGTCGGATTGCCATCTGTGTGGCCATTACTCTGGCGGCCCAACACTCTTCTGTGCCATTTCCATGATCTCTCACAATCTGCCCTAATGCAAGGTTAACATTTAAATTGACCGTAAACGTGGTTCATGACGGTGGACTGGTGCACAAGCATGAGAGGAGGTCAAGATAGGTGTCGAGGAGTTGTGGGGTGGTGGATTTATGGTTATAGGTGGCCTGGTGATAAATGTGTTGGAGAGCAGTGTGAAATTTGCAGAAAGGGTTAAAATGTGCGCATAAAATGTCAAATCTCTAGTTCAGTTATGTGATGGAGAAGTGGAAATTTTTTAAATGTCCGAATTTGGTGTAGTGTATTTGAAAATACTTCACAGCGCTTTCATAAACAAATCGGTATTATACTGTAGTTCCTCAATTATTTTGAAAATACTATCCTCTTAAGTATTGTATAGTATTGGTAATGATTGAAATGCAGTAATAATTAAAGCATTACTATAAACTTCAGCATATTCAGCCATCAATGTTCAGTATTGGGCAAGTAATTAATATTACATTTATATGTGATGGTATGTATGTGACATTAGCAAGGGAGGGAGGTGTCAAGTGGTTAGATCAGCACTGTTGCAGTTCATTTTTGTTTGATGTCGTGAAAGCGGTAATAATAAAAATGGATAATCTGTCTTGAAACAAGTTTTGGTATATAGTTTACCAGAATTTACCTGAGGGGCCACATCTCCCTAAAAGCAGTTCTATGGATTTATAATCCTAATTGGTGAAAAAACATCTTTGTTTTATTTCCATCATTGTGGCTTGTTGAGCTTGAATCCACTGACCTATTGAGTTGTCTCGATAAACATCCTCCAAATTGTTTAGTATTTTACAAAGCTTCGATGAGATCAGCCCTGCCATGCCTGGTTTACAGTGTTATGCCTGTGTACCTCAATTGTTCTTAGTATGAGAGTGGATTAAGAGGCAAAAAAGTACAAAAGTACAGTGCCCTGCTAAAATTTTCATTTCATGCTTCACATTGTCTAATCAAAAGCATTTATAGTATTCACCTAGTTGTTTTGCGGGGGTTGAGCTCTGCTCTTTTGGCCCACCTCTCAACTGTAACTAATGACTAACTAACTGTCCCCCCCCCCACACACACACGCACACACGCACACACGCACGCACGCACCCCCCCCCCCCAGGAAGCAGCTCTGTAACAGCTGTCTTAACTCCGAGGTACCTATTTACTGCTAGGTAACAGGGATATCAGGGGTGAAAGAAACTGCCCATTTGTTTCTACCTGGTCCGGGAATTGAACCCGGGCCACAGAATTAAGAGTCCTGCGCATTGTCCGCTCAGCTACCAGACCCCCTTCATAACTGTCCTAAGTCATTTTAAGCACGTGGGCATTAATGTCTGAAGAAAGTTATTTGAAGCTCCTTCACATTCAACTGAAATCATTTTGAGCATAGGTTGCAACTGTTGCAGATACCCCACACACACATACGACGGGTATAACTAATGAAGGGTTGCTTAAATATGCTGAGCAAAATAAAAGTTGTCTTACTCCTTTATTAAATCAAATTGGAGACATTGACTGTGTTATGAAGGCTATAAATCTGGAAGTTGTGCCATTGTTGGAGAAATCACATAAAAAAAAGTTAAATACTGTACTATAAATGAGAAGTTACAGAAACTACTGCATTCTGTATTTGCAATGTAGACACTGGAGACAAGTATATAATTGAAGGTTACATATATAACAGCACCTCATGCCTACACGCTAGCACCCAACTACCCATTACAGAGCATCGTCGCCTAGCACGCGGTTTCCGCCCATCACCTATCGCACAGTGCCTGCTTCTGCTAACAGCCTTCCATTATTCCCAGTGTCCTTCAGCTGCTAGCCATGCCCACTTTTCACACCGACTAATTGCTACCCACAAACTACCTTCCAGTACTTTTCCAGCCATTAACCTGTAACGACTGCACACTGACTGCAAACGCCTGTCAGCCACCCATTTTTTCACTATCCACAACCCTTTGTCCACTGCATCTTTGGTAACCCCCAGTCCACCAGTGTCTGCTGCACATGTCTGCTGATCGCTTTTCAATATTTATCTCCCACTGTTCAATGGCCACTCCCTGCATTTACTGAATTCCTACCATCATTCCCACCATTCCCACTTTGTTACATCATACAGCAAGAACTAGGCTGCAAAATATTTAAAACTATTCTGTTTTATTCTGGCTACAATCATTCTCACATGTACTGTTGTTTGGGATTTAACTGTCACTTGAACTAAAGTTCACAGGAAGCAATAATTGTTTTTTCAGTTTTGGCATTTCCTTGCTGGGTCCTTTGTGGTTCCCTACTGGGTTGTGGGTTGTTGTGTTTGGTTCCTTGCTTCTAGTGCCCCCCTCCCCTTCCCCTTCCCTTTCCTTTCCCTTCCCCTTTCCTTTCCTTTCCCTTTCCCTAGCACTATTGGGTGTTCAATCAAGAATAGTGCAAATTGATAACTGCTTTCTGAGGTTTCAGAGTGTCTTTAAATGCTTTTCTGTTGGTATAGCATTTGCATTTCTTCCCATATATTTTCCTGGCTTTCTTTCCTGGGGTTATGTTTCCATTTATTTTATTATCCCTATTCGCTATGGATATGCCTTGGAGTGGGTCTGCGGGCCGCTCCAAGCAGTAGCCTGTTGGACCAAGCTCTCACAAGTTAAGTCTGGCCCCAAGCCAGGCTTGGGGAGTAGAACAACAACTCCCAAAACTCAATCAAGGTATGCAGAGACTGCTTCAAGCTTAACTAACCCCTTCCTGGGTTGGATCCCATAGGAATTTAGTCTGCTGGAGCCCTGTCCACTACCACTAGGTTCTTAGCTCATCCTTTCCCAGTTTTTCTGACTGCTGCTTGGATGGTGGTGTCCACTGACCGTGATCTTGCTTGACTGGTACCCTGTTTGCCTTTTCATGTTTGAAGTGCTCCTATTCCATTTTTTTTTTTTTTTCCTAAGCTGCTTGTGTGGGGGTTCTTGGTCATTTTGTATTTATGCCCATCTGGTTGAAGGTTTTGACAGTCAAGCAGGGTGTTTACTGTTCATTCTTTGCTAGTTATCCTGCATCCTTGCCATGCTTGGGCTGGTGCCATGCAGCTGCCATTCCTTTCCTCTCAAACTCTGGTCTCTTTACCAATGGAATGACCCTTTCCTGTTTTTGTTCACTACTTATTGTGATCTCTTTAAGCAAAGCCAAAGTGCCATTGAGTAAATACCAGGAAGCTACTGACAGAGCTAGCACAAAATTGGAACTTGAGTGAAATGAAATGCCATTTTCTGTAGAGCTGAGATGCTTTAGACTTAATGTGAATAAAGGTGGTGGCCTGATACCATATAGTAGTGGTCCATTGGTGTGAAGGCTGTTTGCCATGTTTCTTTTTCTCATATTGAGAGTAGTAGTTTGTTTTATTTAATCTTTGACTTTCTGAGTGTTATCCTTGGTTTCATGCATTTCTCTTGATTGCCAGATTCTGATTTCCTGCTAGCTGTGTGAGTTTTAGTCTGTTATGTTTAGGGAGGCACTGATACCAAAGCCATATGCACTGGGGAGCTACAGTAATAAGGAGCCACACAAAATACATTTCATTATACAGTACAGTACTTATTTTTTCTTAGGTTGCAAGTGGTTTAATAGATAGTATTATAAGCTATCCTGTGCATTCTAATGAGGTTGCATATTTTGGAGTGTGTTAATTTGGCACCAGGTATTTGAAATTTTGTATGCTGTATGTGATTTTGCTTGTGACTAGTGTTTTACATGCAATCATTGTGGTAGTAAAAGGAAAGATGTTTTATGTAATTCTTTTACCAACAATGTATAGTTTAAATTTTATTTACGAGTATAAAGCTGAATGACTGTGCACAACCTGCTTGATGGGGTTCTGGGAGTTCTTCTACTCCCCAAGCCTGGCCCAAGGCCAGGCTTGACTTATGAGAGTTTGGTCCACCAGGCTGTTGCTTGGAGTGGCCCGCAAACCCACATACCCACCACAGCCTGGTTGGTCTGGAACTTCTTTTAGAAAACAAGTATAGTTTTCTCTTGAAGATGTCCACGGTTGTTCCTGCAATATTTCTTATAGTCGCTGGGAGGACGTTGAACAACCGCGGACCTCTGATGTTTATACAGCCAGATTTCTCCGTTTTTGGAATTGATAAAAATCTGGGACATGTTACACTTGTCCCAATGAGTTTTAGTATTTAGGACAGGTAGGCAGACAGGCATGAGCATAAAATACTGAGTAGTTTTAGATATTATAAACAGTTGTCGTATAATAGTGAAGAGTACAAAGTGTAGCCAACACTGCAGACACCAACAAGAGATGATCATTTATCTATCGGGGCTGTGTTTGGTAAAGTTTTACAAGAGAAATGTTATCTGTAACTTAAGTCGACTCTTCTTGTGGTTTCTATGCATCAATTACCATATGATTATGTAGATATAGTTGAATAATTATAATAAAATTAATGTACTGTACCTTTTTTTTGTCTCAACAGTCTGGTGCGAAGATAAACATCAGCGATGGATCTTGCCCAGAGAGGATCGTCACAGTCACTGGAAACACAGACAGCATCTTTTCTGCATTCAAGCTTATCTGCGCAAAGTTTGAAGAGGTGGGTACCCCTGAGTTTAGCAACCACTGGCTTTAAGTGCTTGTCAGTAGAGAATATTTGTGAGTTCCAGCAGACCCATATTTCTGTTATTATATTGTACATAATGATCATCTGTAATGGTATGCATGTATATAGTGTCTTATTGTAGAAGTATAATAGTATAATATTATACTTCTAATAGTATAACAGTATAACAGAACATAAATATAGTTTAGAGGTTAATATTATAGTATATTTTGAGTTTAGTATATTACAGTTCTGTAATAACTTCAGAACAGTAACTGAAGATATTCCTTCAACCTGCACAGTATTCATCTGGCACACTTACCCACTCCACCTACACTCATACTCATCTATATCTCACCAAAAACAACAGCCCTTCTCTATTCTCCCCTCCCCCCCCCCATACCACCTCACCCATCTAGCCACAGCATCCACTCCCATCACCCAACCTCACCCCCTTCCCCCCATCCCCCTTCTGCTCGTTAGCCCTTCTTTTCCTTTCTGGTGTCTCATAAGAGTATTTCCCAACACTGTTTATATTGTTAAATATATATACTAGTACCTTGCATAGGAATTGGTATACCTCGATTGCGGCTTTTAAAAACTTGACACTGTTTCCTCTCGCCATATTTTTTTATTTGGTCATGCTCCCTCACTCTTAACTTCCTTCCTTGCTTCCTTTTTATTCAGCCTTTCCATTTTACTTCTTTCACTGTTTATTTTCTTCTTTCTTGCCTTTACCTTCATTTATCCCACTTGCCCATCTACTCTTTTTTTTTTTTTCTCTCTTACCCGTTTCTGTGCTCCGCCTCGCTGCAGCTAGCTTGTAGAGGGGTCGGCACAGAACTCATTAAAAATTGACAGAGCAAACAGTGTGTGAATGCAAAGATGGCTGCTGCTGTTGCTGCTCGAGCACTGCTTCCCTGGCATCTACATATCTTTCCAGTCTTTCATACCTTGGTTATACTGTATTCAGCTGTTTTATCCTTGTTACAGTCTAGAGATATAAATATACTGCATCCAGAATCAAGCTGCACTGAAACATTCACTAATTAAATAATTATATCCATTGTAAATTTTAGTAGTAATTTAAAATCCTGAGCCACATGCATTTATCTGGACTACATGTACGATGTAGAACCCAACTGCAAATGCATCCACAGTCCAACACAAAATGACTTAACTTGCATGTGTTTACCTATATTGCCTATACCATTACTGATGTGTTACTGGGAGTGTTTCGTTGATAACAGTGGTCATGAGAGATAAGGCATTGAGTAACAGAACCACCATTATTTGTGTGTGCTGTCCTAACAAACTATATTATTTGCCCATGATAACTTCAGTTAAAAAAATCTTTCTACTGTACTTTGTGCTAGCAGATCAAAACAACTTGTATCGGCTAATAATTTTGGAGACCATGTTTGTGAATATACTTTCATATGGTGATAATGCAAATTCCATCTTGCTTGTAACCCCCCCAACTCCCCTCCTAGATCGAACAATTGACACTCCTCAGGGTGCAGCCCCATAACAGTTGCCTAACTTCTGGGTACCCATTTAGTACTAGGTGAACGGATGCATTAGGTGAAAGAAAATGTGCCCAACCATTTGTCCCACCTAGAATTAAACCAGAATCCCCAGTTGAGAGTCGAGAACGAAGCCAACGGTATTAAAAGACCATGAAGTGGATATCGTTCCATAATGCTGCCTGGCTGGTGTATATTACCTGTGACAGTTTCAGTAGTTATATATTGTCCCACAACAAACTCCAAGGCAAGGCTTTTCTGGTGATGACTTTTTCTGATTAATGTCTTCTGACGAACCACCAAACCCTTGTGGTGGTTCCAGGGATCAGTGCCCTGTAGACTAGTGATGTACAGGTAGCGGGCCACAAATCACAGAGATATCATAACCTTGTTGCTCTGGCACTTTCTCTAGGATGTCATTCCATGGTGTTATCTGTCTGGTGGATATAATTCCATGATGCTGCCCAACTGATAGTCTTCCACAGGACTACCTGTTGGTGGATATTATTGCCAGATATTAATCATTGGTGAGCATTTTGCTCCATTAATACCAAACTAGTTGACAATGTGTCCCAACATTATCTGTGGAGATGTCTTGATGCCACCTGGTTGTTGGTCATCATGCATCGATTCCATCTGCATGGCAAGCAAGCTTGTTACCCAATACCGTGTATTCAGTAACATGAACTGATACCAGACTTTTCACTATTTTATCTGGAGAAAGATCTTTTGCATTCCATTGCAACCAGGGAAGCTGAACTCGCAACCCATGAATTTTAAATTTGTCGAGGTAAACAGAGTGGGTGGGGTGTAATTTTGAGGGACTTTTCAGTAGCACATAGTCTGTTTACATGGGGCTCTCGCTTGATGAAAGACTGGCATTAGCTTTATTGTAAGCTATTTTTCCTCAGTGTCTGGGTGTTTTTTCACATAACATTTCTTGGGTAGCATGATATTTTTGCTTTTTCTTATTTCTAACTCTTAAATATACAATAGACTGATGCAGAAATCATTATTTCTGTCAGACAATTTGAGCAAGAATCCTATACATGTCAAGATAGTTCCAGGGATCAGTGTTCCAATGACCTGGTCTTGTGATGACCCATCCTAGGTGATAGTCTTGTCTATCACACCTGCTCAAAGATAATGTGACATTGTTTTTTGTGTAAAACCTTGTTCCTTGCCATATATTCATTGTCTATTCAAAACTGGTAACCTGCTTCTGTCTGCCTCCATCTGTTCTTATTTTAATAAAGTACTGTGTATCTTACAGACAACTACACTTCAAGTCACCTTGGGATTGAAAATGACAAATATGTTGTAATTTTTTACTTTTTCCTGAAATATGTTGTATTTTATGACAATGACACCTACCCCACCCCCAACAGTTTTCTCTGTGTATATGCCAAATACCATATCATTTTCTGTACTTGAAACATAAACAGTCTAGCACTTGTATAACAGTTGCCATTGCCCTATATATATGTTTAGTTTTCAAAGTTATAATTTTGTAAATAGGCAGCAGGAAGTACAGTTTTGAATTATCAGTGAGCCTGCCAACCCTCCAACACCCTTCATAAACACCCCTCATCAAACACCATCTCATAAATACCATCTCATCATTTATCCTTCTCCCGTGATTTCCCTTCACCCACACCCTCAAGACACCTTTTATATCTGTGATCCCCACCACCAGTTATTCACCTCCACTTCCCTTATCCCAACCCACATTATTTCTAATTACTTAAACCCTCAACTGTATGATCTTGCTTACACCACGACCACTTAAATCCCAGTCATATGTCATATCAATACACTGACAAATCAAAACTACACCAAACCACTACCAATTAGGCATTATGAAAATAACAAAAATACAAGTCCCCAAGGCACAGTGGTAAAGCACTTGCCAAGCACTTTGGCCTTGGTTTGTATCCTGGCCGGGGAGAAGTGACTGGGCCTCTGTTCACCCAGCAGTAAATGGGTACCTGGTTGTTTAACAATTTGGAGGGTCGTATTTCTGAGAAAATTTGGGTTTAGGACCTGCCGAAACTCTGTGCATGCTAGTGGCTTTACAAGAATGTAAGAACTCTTGTACAGTATATGTAAATAATAAAACAAAAAGTGATGAATCTATAATAAGAGGCCTGGGTTTGATTCTGCCATACAGCCTCAATATTCATTCACTACCAACTATACGCCTACTCAAAACCAACCTTACTGCCACACCCCAATCAAAATACCCACCATCCATGGGCTAATGTTACCACCCATGCTGGCTGTGTATGATAGAATACCGACATATCAGGAGGAATAAATTCAAGTATTATAGCTGAGAGTGATATATCTCACTCTATATATGTACTCCTTGTGTATAAAGGGAAGAACACTTTCATATTGAAGACTTCATACTATTGGTTATATTGAGAATGAAAGGCATTTTACTTGTAAAACTATGCAACTATTTTGTTGCCTATGCAATATAATTACAGTCTTGTACTGTAATTATGTTTGTGTAAAAAAAAATTACAATTATGTGATTTCAGTTCTTGGGTCAGATGTACCAGAACAATGGCAGTGCTGGCGGTGGCGGTGGACAGCAGCGCCCACCCATTACCCTACGGTTGATTGTCCCTGCCTCTCAGTGTGGCTCACTCATTGGCAAAGCAGGATCCAAAATAAAAGAAATTCGTGAGGTGACTGGGGCTTCCATTCAAGTTGCATCTGAAATGCTGCCCAATTCAACGGAACGTGCAGTCACTGTCTCCGGCACCTCAGAAGCTATTACTCAGTGTGTCTACAATATTTGCTGCGTCATGCTTGAGGTAAGTGTACTACTGTTATCATTTATAGACATGACCAATTGAGCAAGGGAATTAGTGTACAGTATTCACATTTTGCTGTATCATGCGTAATGTTTATAAATCACTTGTACAGTATAGCTTTGAAAGATATTGTTGTATAACTATTTTTGTTTTGTAAACTATTTTCTCATTATTTTTGCAGTCCCCTCCCAAAGGCGCCACGATCCCTTACCGCCCCAAACCCCAGGTCGCCGGTGGGCCGGTGATCCTAGCCGGCGGCCAGGCCTATACTATCCAGGGTAATTACGCTGTTCCCTCAGCGCCCGATGTAAGTACTATTCCCTTTGTTCCCCCACCACCACTTGGGGGGCCCCCTGGCCCCTTCATGGCGGCCCCCCTCAGCCCCCTCCTGCCCCCATGTCCCGTCTCCACGGCGCCTTCCCCAGGCCCCCCACACCATGGCGCCATCATAACGCCTGCGGGCCACCACCCATGCCATGCGGGGCACTTGCAGATCACGACCCCGTGCCATCCGCCGGGCCATCCGCCAGGCCACCCACCCGAACACTTGAAGAACGGCCATATCGGCATAATGCCACAGCCGCACTTCCACCACATGCAGGATGTAAGTCACACCGCCGTGTCCCGCCCGAGTGCCCGTGTGACCCATGCCCAGTTGGACCCTCTCCGTGGCTTCTCGCCACCCATCCGACCCGACCTGATCCGGACGTGTTCCATACCCGACCAGACCTAATTAGTGTTGCCCATTGTGCTTCCCGATCACATCCTGCATGATGCACCCATATAACCCTAGCCCTAACCCATATGGCCTAGCCTTTTAACTTATTACCTGCCCTTAGATACCTGCCTGCCATCCTGCATGTAAATGGCTATTCGTGTAGTGTTACAGTAAAATTTAAATATATTCGGTATAGCATTACTCTTGGAAATGTAAGTGACAGCGTGGCCAGGGCTAGGTGTTGAGGCAGGTGCAGATACCTGGTGGTACAGGTGCACAGCAGATCCTGCTGGTGGGTCGTGGGGCGCGGGGCTTCCTCACTCATCCCTGCCATGCCAACGCCTCTTCGATCCCTTTTGCGCCACCAACACCGACCAACACCACCTGATGACGGCCCTATCATCCCCACTCTTCTCTCTGCACCACTGACTGTTTTTCTCATAAGGGACTCGACCTGTACCCATCAAACTTGAAAACTTATACCGGTAGTGATATTTTATATTTTATAATAAAACTTGATACCGGTAGTGATATTTTTTATATTTTATGATCATTAAAGCCTCATAGAAGACATTTAAATAATTCAACAACACAAGATTGTCTTTGTTCTATATTAATGTATTAGATTAGTAAAGAAAACTTAACTTTTTATTTTTATATAATTTATGATTGGGAAATTTCTAGGTAATAAATGGTAATCATTTGCTCAACCATTAAATTTGGAGTTTATTAAAACATGAGAATTTTACTTTACTTATAACAATAAGACATTTGAAATAGTCCTTTTCAGTTTAAATGAAATTAATATAAAAGTTTTTGGCCTTGTGACTTACCTTGATGTGCTGGACAATTTCTGGTCTTTTCCGACCCTACGCTTGACGCTTGACGCTCCCAGCTCAACATTCCCGTACCGTATTGTCCCTGTTGCATGATCGTCTTAGCCCTTTGATTTTAGTGTTTCCCCAACCTATATGTCCCATTCAGGAGTGATCAACACAGACACAGATATTAGAAACAAACATGAAGTTGGACAAGGAAATTAGAAATATACTTACTATTAGGATTTCTTAATTCTGACACTACTACTTATCACTGGATGACTGAGTGGATGTACTGTGTGTATTAAAAGAGGTCAGGTTTCATGTTATGAGCTAGTTTATGAAACAAAGTAATTAAGAAATTTAAATTCTTCTTGCCGTATAGAAAGTATATTGTCAGATTTGTATTAAAAGATTTGTAATCTTACTAATCTTTGCATGTACGCATTAATTAAGGATTGTTTTGTGAAATTATCTTCAAGGCAGTCATTCTAAATTCATGTTTTTTTTTTTAATATAGTAACCTATGTGAGACGTTCATGAATTAAGATATTTTTCAGTTTGGCACTTCAGTCAGTTGTATTAACAAAGATATTGTCTTATTCACATTGAATTATAAGCCATCTTCACTTTAAATTATGAATTTATAAATGTTTTCTTTTTTTTATGGCTTTTTGCTTAGTTTTTGGATTTTACACAAACAAATATTCTTTTAACGATTAGAAACCTCTCCTTTGCTCCAACCCTTTACCCAGCTTCCCTCACTAACATAAAACACTTCCTCAATGTTGGTGCATCCTACTGATGACCACTGTCACCCTGGAAGCCTTTCCTGACCCAGCTGCTAGAGAGGACTCGCCTCCCCTTCCCTAAGATTAGCTAGAGTCAGGAGTGGTGCTACCTGTGCATTTCCCATCCTCCCTTGACCATAATCAGGCGGCGACCCACTGCACATCCTCAGAAATAAATATATTTATATATATTTAAAGACTTGAAAGTAAGAAGAAACTCTGAAAGCTCTGAAGAAGAGGTCTGGCCCGCGCCCCCCAACACCCAGTCAGCGCTGCCCGCGTACTTTCTCTGTCCCGCCCGGCCCATGCCGCACACTCCAACCTGGAGGGGCCCCCCAGAGGTGGCTTGGGGATTATATACCTGTGCTAGATTAAGATATACTGTACTCTATTATTTATTCAAATCAATAATGCAATCCTTATTTCAGTCTTAAATTTTTCAAAATAAGTAATTCCATATAAATTTAATGTCTAATAAATTATATATTCCAAAGATATTAATGTCTTTAGTCCAATTGTTTCCTTAATACTGTTTATCCTAAATAAATTAATTTCATTGTATATCAGTGTAGTGCTATATATCACCAGTTGGTTACTTACATCATGAAACAAATATGTGCTCTCATATAACTATTAGATGACTAAGTGGGTATATCTAAATTTGCCTCGCATTTATTGTGAATATTGTGTATTGCAAATATAATCAGTGACATCAGTTCTTGGTATCCCTGTCAATACATGCAATTTATTCTTTACCACCAAAATCAAATTATCACCTAATGATGATTGTTTTTATCCAGATGAGCAAGTTGGGCAACAACTCCCCACTAGCAGGACTACTGGGTCTGGGTAGCCTAGCTGGTGCCAACCCAGGTGGTGGTGTTAACCCTCATGCCGGCAACACTGCTGATGGTAGGTTGCATACTGCCGTACCAATTTCGTTGTTTTTCTCTCGACTATTCCTTCATCTTCATTTTGCTTACTTTCCCTCTCTTCAACTCTCTAATATTAAATATACAGTATTTCAATATGAATATCAAGTCCCAGGTTGTATAACCTTTACTGAAAGTGAAAAATAAAGTAATGAGTGGTAGGAGAGGTTAATATTATAATGAAAGAAAGATATGTTAGTATGGGAGTTGAAAAAGCACTGAGGGATAATACATTGATCCAATATCTAAATGGAAGAAAATGTAGGGTATGGAAGGGGACGAATGTTCAATACAAGCAGTGGAAAGTATGTATGTGAGAAGAGCAGATAGTGTAAGTATTTGGGATGGATGAAGAAATATGAATGAAAAGGGTTAGGGAATTAAATGTGCAATCTGTGCAATTTGTAAAGCACAGATCATATAGGAATGTTTGTAGGATTAGTAGGATATTCAGGAATCGTTTAAAGAGAACAACACAAGCAGTCCCCAACTTACGAATGGAGTATGTTTTGAAAAGGTGTTCGTAAATCTGAATCAGATTTCCCATGAGCACAATGTGGTGCATGTGTTCGTGTAACACCAAAAATTCGTATACATATATATGGTAGAGACAGATGACCATGACCAGTTCTTTAGTAAGGAAGAATGGAACAATATTTGGAAAAAGAATTTGGGGTTAGTGTGTGAAAGATTTATTAAAAGTATTCTGGAGAAACTTCTGTTGTGGCTACCCACTAATACAGAACTCCTGTTTGGCAGTAAGGCATTGGAGCTATAAATTTGCTATGTGTACAAATATTTGGCATTTTTGAGACAATATTAGTGACAAATAATTTTTTTTTTTCAGCGCTAGCAGCTTTGGCAGGGTCCCAGCTGAGGACCCCCGCAGGCTCTGGCCCTGGTACTCAGACTCACGAGATGACTGTGCCCAATGAACTAATAGGATGCATCATTGGAAAGGGTGGCACCAAAATTGCTGAAATCAGGTCAGTACCTAAATTAACATAAACCTTTTCAGCATAAGATGTTATCTCTTAAGTGTCATTTAATATACTTGCACATCCCAAACAAGAAAAAGTCACTCATATTTTTATTTGCAGGCAAATCACTGGGGCTATGATCACCATCAGCAAATATGATGATGGGTCAGAAGAAGCAAGCAAGCAAGACAGGACTATCAGTATCAAGGGTAATGCGGACCAGGTTGCCCTTGCGCAGTACCTCATTAACACCAGGTAAACCCAAGTCCTCAACCCTCAGCCCTCGCGTCACTCCACTTTACCCAAACATCTATTGCCCGAGTTAACTCTGTCTTTGTAACACTCATCCAGAGAATTAGGCTAACTCTGTATGCCAAGTGGAGGGTTGTGCTTTTCCCATACTTACTCTAAGTGGAACATGTCAATTAGAACTATTTACCATAGAATAAATGTTTTGTGTTCATTTATTGTTGATAATGACTGGTTCATGGGGAGCATAGTGGCACAACCGCTCACTGGTAATTGTGTTGACGTGTGTGGGTCTATTTTCACAGTACTGTGAGGTCCCAGCGCTCGTAAGGACAGAAGGTATGTACACGTTTCCGTCGTTCTCGTACACAAGCTGCAAGCAGGGGCCTGCATGCCTCTGCTCTCTCCACATTCAAGCGATCCTAATAAATTCCGATTTGACCAAAACCTCAGTATTCCTTACCTTGATGACTGGCTTCAGGTCTTGCTATTTTTGTTCCTTAAATTTTGATGATGCCCTAAGTGCAGTTCCATTCGTGCGTGGTAAGTCCTCCTTTGTCCTTTACCTGTTATCCTTGAAAGTCCTGATCCTAGCGGTGCACACTGCCCTGAGCCCCACACACACTTGCTCTTACCAACCATTTTTCAACTCTTGCTATGCTCTTGATTCTTACATCTACATTGGCCACTACAGCAGTTCTTTAACTTAAAACAACACATTATCCCATGATGAGTGTTGCTTTTGTTCGTGTGTCTGGGCATTATGTGTGGTGGTTGTGGGCGTGTGATGACCGCTGTGCCTGCCCCTAGCTACGGCTTTGTAGCTGTTGTTGGTGGGCACGTGCCATTTCTCCCGGAGGCAGTCCTGGCCTCGACCCTCTTGGTAAGTCATACTTCCACACCCTGACCATGTCCTGGGCTTCCCTTGTCATGGTTGTCTCTGCTGGCTGTTGCCATTCCTCCTTACCCCTCCTTAGCATGCATTTCTTCTGCAAGGAGTGCTTAACACTTCCTTCTCTTGGTTAATGGGACCAACTTTATCAATTGGCTCTTGTGTCCATTAGTCATTGATTAAATGATTAAGGGACTACCATCATGCCAGTCACAACCTTGCCTCAGTTTACTTCTGTATTAACTTTAAAAGAAATAGTAATAAGTTGGCAGGGTATGGATTCGTGGTCCCAACTTTCCATAGCTCTTTGCTTGTGTTAAAGTTTTGCTTATTTTAGTTCTTCCCCGAGTGTCAGCAGATCAGACTAACTTTTCATCTAATTCTCGTGCCTTTAAAAAAGCATCCTTCTATGTAGTCTTCTGTAATGTAATGTTCTGTTATGCATTTTCATCTTATTCTGGTCTAGACTTATTTTAACAATGGATTCTGCTTCTCACTCTTCTTTACAGCTATTAAAGTAACACTAGTTTTCAACACCATTGTATTTTATGTTCTAATTTTATTAAATATCTGCAATTTTCCAACATAGCTAAATATAGCACAAAATATCCACCACATGAATATCCAAATCTATGTATTCAAAAGATCTTTTAAAGCTTTTTCTCATTCTTTCAACCCAGTCATAACCTGATGTCAACTATCCTTTCTGGGCGTCACATTGTCAGGTTGTGTTCAGTTCTCTATCACAGCTTCACACCAGTATGCCTCCCTTCTTTATATTGTAGTAGCTTCCACAACCTGTCAGGCGACGTCCTTATCCATTATTCCAAAATCCAAATGATAATCCAGTGTGAAGCCTCGTACATCCATCAGCTGATAACGTGGCCTATCTGATCCTTATCCTTTGGGCCTGCCGCGCATCTTCCCCACAGCCCACCATGCCCACATTCACCCTCTCCACATTTGACAGTTCTCGGCAACCACACAAGAATTAATGATGATGAATTATTTTGAATATAAGATTGATCAGTGTTAGCATTAGTTTTGTGGGATGTTCATTAGAAAATTATATATAAATGTGGCGAGGAGTGTTCAAGTGTGGGCATGTGGGCAGTGGTGTGGCATAGTGTGCCAGTGATAACGTTGCGGCCCCTTGTCTCCCCCAGCATGGAACTGCACAAGGCGCAGCTTGAAGTAAGTAAGGGCGGGTCCGGGTCGACCGGGTCGGGAGGGCTGAGCCCCAGTGCCATCCCCCTGGCCCAGCTGCTCAAGAACCCGCAAGCCCTGAACGCCTTGTCCTCCCTGACCGGCCTGCAGGGCCTGTCCTCCCTCACCTCCCTGCTCGCCCCCGACTCCTCCCAGGGCCTGGCTGGTATTGCGGCTGCTAACAGGCACAACAAGGCCTACCAACCCAAGCTGCGCGCCCAAGCCTCTGTCCATCAGCCCACTAATGGCTCCCCCAAGGAGAACAAGCGCAGCAAGTTCGCACCCTACTAGACCTCATCCTCTCCCACGGGGCCCCGGTCCTCTCCGGACGCAGAGCGTCCTCATCCTCCACTCCTGATGAACCTCGTGGCTCTCCACCAACCAGGGGGTCAGCTTTTCCTGTTTACAGGCATGCCTCCGCCCTGCTGGCCTGGGGCTGCCCAACCCACCTGCTGCTAATGTTGGCTTTGGTGGCCCCCTGTGCAGTACCCAGCAGGGCTGGGGCATGTCACCATCTCAGATCTGAGTAGGAATACTCCCAGCTGCATGCCACCGACTAGAGTAAGGAAGTACTATCTGGTAGCAGGAAACTGTGTACTCTCTGACTTTCGGTTACAGTGTGTATGCAATGGATACATGCGTGTTGGTGTCAGATGGTCAGTATCACTAGGTCAGCAGCTGCTTGTTATACATGGTGGTCTTAGCTGGCTCACTCCAGCCCAGACAGCCTGCCACCTCTCAACTAAACATATCAGTTAGGACAATTGATTCTTTGTTTCCTGTTGTTTTTTATAATGGCATCAAGCAGAAGCTGAAAGCATATTGCATTGTCACAATTTCATAGAGTTTTCTTGTAAACGTTGTGCATGGTACTCCTGTTTGTCAGTAATGGTTCATCTGGTGACAGTCTCAGATTCATACAATTCTCAATTGCAATTTGTGTAAAAGTTTCTGAAAATTTTCTAATGAACCAACAGATAAATACCAAGCTTGTAAGAGTTAGTGTCGACATAGGATGTGGTCGGTGAGCAGCTGCTGGGTGCCCTACCGTCAAGCGGCACCAGGCATAAGATAGGAAGCTGGGCACTGTGACCAGATCACCGCCTCATATTTTAGCATTGCAGTGCTGAGCACGTGTGCCGTAGTTGCTCGGTTTAGTCACTATAGGATATGGCATTAAATATTACATACTTAATGTGTAATTCCTTGAGAAAGTACATGTGGGTACAAAACTCAGCTGTTTTCCTTTTTCATTATAATGTATGGAATGTACAGTTTTGCAATAAGTTAATTGTCTCCTTAGAAGTACTGGTGTTCAATCGTAAGCTCAATATGTGAATGTTTCTTCCACTAGATATTAAACAAGTGTAAAGTTTGAGGAAGATTAAGCCTTTCATTACAATCCTATCCTGACCTGCCCCGTGGTGATCCCCACCTTTCCACCACCACCACCACCACTACCGCCACCACGCGGCAGCGCCCGGCACCTGAACACCCCTCTGGCTGGTTGGCTCCCTTCTGCAACAATTGCCTCTTCTATAAATTTCCATTTTCTGTCATACAGTACCTTATGTGTACTTGTTAGTATGTGGATGCTTGTAGAAGGGAGCCACCATGTAACCTTGGACTGATGTAACACTATGGGGACAAATGCCTGACAACAGGGCCGATGCGTCGATCCAACGCTTCGGAGACTTCTTGCTTCCCCAGCAGGTAAGTTTTCACAATGGAAACAATAACTTTTTTTTTTTTTTTTTTTTAAGTACTTGTCATATATTATCCTGACATGCAAACTAAACATTAACCAGTCTTTACCTGTTCCCTGTACCTCAGTCCCCAGCAATCCTGTTCAGTGCATCAGTTGGGGAAGTTTTGTATGCTAATTTATGTTAACAATTACAGGCCAGTAAAAATGCAGGTTTTAAGACTTGCATCAAGGATCTGAATTGGTGGTATTAATTTATGGGATGATTACAGAGGAACAAGGTTGACTGAAGGCACGTTAAAAGGAGCTACAGTTCATATCTGACAAGCTAGCAGTGAAATATGCTGATCAGTTGCATTAAAAATTGTTTTGGCAGTTATTTTAAATGAAAGAAAAATGTTTTTACCAGATAAAACAAATAAGCAGAGGCTAAATATGTTGGAGACACCTGGCAATAATCTGAACGCAGATGGATAATAAGTTTTCCTTTAAAATTTAATATCCTTAATGTTCCTGAATTAAAGTTTTGTAGCAAATTTAAGTGAAGTACTTGATCTATGTGGAGATATAATGGAAATGGTATATAAAGTATCACTTGGTGATGGGTGACGCAGGTGTGTGTTGCAGGATAGCGATGGAGACAGCAGGACTGGGTATGGCGGGCGTTGGCTACCAATACATTGCACCCAACCACATCGTGCGAGCCCCTATCCACTGATGCGAGCAGCCTCTAGTGTTGTTGGACCCAGCCAAAACCCTGCCTCCGGAGCGGCCCATATCGCAGCTGGCCACCATCACCCCAGCTTCCCACACAACACCGGGTGTCTGGCCAAGCATGCAGTAATACCACCAGCTCACCACGCCCCCTCACCACCACTTCACCACCACCTACCTCTACCACTCCTGCCAGCACCTAATTTTTCAGTTTATTGAGCATGCATTTCTGCACAGATATTAGGAAGAGGTCATTATATAAATGTAAATTGCTGTGGTACAAGTCTTGTTGGTGGTTGTGGTCATGAATGCCCCCAGGTGTTGGTGGCGAGGTAGGAAGTGCACACAAGACTGTGGGTGGTGGTGGTGGTGGCACACTGGAGCCGAGCGGTGGAGGGGCGGGTCGGCCACGGTGGGCGTGGCTGGGAGGCGCCTCAGTGCCCAGAGTCAGTGACATAGGTTACCACAATTACCACTTTATACTCTTGGTGTAAGCGGGGTCCGGCCAGCAGCCAAGCTGGTGGTGATGAAAGTAGAGCTGTGGGTCGGCCCCTGCCAAGTTGTGTAGCTCAGTGTACAACATTTTCAGTTAATCCCCCAGGGCGGCCACTACTCCCCACCTTGCCTGACCCCCTGCGCCAACCTCGTTTGCTCAAGCATTGTTACCATCGGAATGCTCCAGCTGGAACCAGAAATGTGACTGTGATAACTGAAGTATTGTATACATGCGTACCATTTTATACTCTTTGACTGGATCACTTGATATAGAGGCTAACACGTGGAAAAGGCTTGATATTTTAGTCGATTAACTGAAAATGATATTTTTATGAAAACTCCACCTTCAGTATATGACTGATCAATCATATAGTTGAGCTTATCTCTAGTTTTAGAATACTGTAATAACAAAGAAATAGTTATCTACTGCTATGTATACATAGAGGTGTTGTTCTGTAGATACACTCTGAATTTTATAATCTTATCTACAAGTTCTTGGATGCATCAGATAGTAAATGTCGGTAAATATTTAATATTTCTATCTCGAAGCTTTAGATGTTTCCTAGAATTGAAAGTATTTTCTTATGCTTCCTTCTGACCTTCATGAAATGAAGCTATCATTGGCTTCCACAGGGTTTTGTAAAAGACATATTACTATACATCAGTAGGGCTTTGTAAGCATTTACATTTTAGTCCCATGTACTGTCTAGTTGTGAGAGGCTGGTAAGGCTTCAAGTCTAGTCGAATGTGTGCCAAGCATTTATTTATTGTTTTCACATGGCATGTCATTGATTTTTAATCATATTGTAGTATATGGTGATAAAACACGTTTTAATTACTCTTTTTAAGGTACAGTATTGCCACAATGTATAGTCTTAGAGAACGTAAAGTTTCTACGAGTCCCCTAACCCCCTCCCCCCCAACCCTCCATACCAGAAGTCGACCAACTGTTAGTGTGTTCTGCCACTTGACCGCGCTGCACACACCTCTTGTCTGCCTCACATCGGTAGAGGTCCCTGCCAGACCTTTCCGTTAAGAGCAGCACACACACCTGGCCGCTCAACCCTCTGCCCATCCCTGACCCCCCAATGCACCACCACTCCCAAATCACTCACTTGTCCAAACTTTTTAACTTTCTTGGACCATTTTTTCTAATATGCCATGACTTGGTTTTATTGATACCTACGTTTTAAAATAGCTTTAAAAGGACAATTTTTTTTTATTTTATTAAGAATAAAATGGACAGGAGTGAAAACGTCAGTGAAGTGCAGAGAAGGGTAGTTATGGGCTAGGGAAGAGTGGCTCTCGAGAACCATGGCGGGGCGAGTCCAGCCCCTCTCCCAGTAGTCTCACTAGCTGCACCAGGACCCTATAGGACACCTCTAGAACCCTCTAGAGTCACGACAAGTGCCAGGGCACTGTCGTGAGTGCAGCGCACAACCGCTGCCTCAGCCATTCCATGAGAGACTGGCGCGTGCTGCAGCCAAGCCCGGTGCACAGGCGCAGCGTACCCTCTCATCTATCTTTTAATTAATACCTTCAAGAAATTATAATCAAGGAGCTGTGAATTTTACATTGCTCAGTTAAGTAACCTAAATTAGTATCTAACACTGAGCGTGACGCAGTAGAATAATAAAAAAAAAATTACCAAGAAACAACATTAACAAAAACCAAGGTTTTGGTGTCGCAACTTTAGTGTGCGCGGTGGGTGTGGCCTTCCAGGGTTCCTGTGCCAGTCTAGGGAGTCGTGGGTGTGTGCCTGAGTGGGGGATGATTATCTCATGCTCCCACCTTGTCCATGCCTACCGTCACCCGGGTATATAAAGCCATACCCAACAAGGAGCCTCCGCCCACTGCTCACACACCCCATGGGCGAGTAAAGGCTAGCTCATCCGTTAACTGCGGTGGGCTGTACCAAGAACATATACTCGCTGTTCACTATAGCAAATATTTGATACAGAGTAGCCATGCATTCATATGCTTTTTTATGATTTTTGCTAGGGCTGTGGACGGTTGATATAGCAATATCTAACTAATTTGTATATGCATATGAATCAGTGTAATGAGTCTTTCTGTTGCGCACGTGTCTTATTGTTAATTTGTTATACAGATGGTTAGGTCATAAGTTGCCATCAGGCAGAGTGACGCAAATGGAGGGCACTGATGCCCCCGAGCGGCTCATGTGATGCCTGGTGTGCACTGATGCAGTACTAGGGCCTTGGCTTACTAGCGATAGTGCTCACCTTAATTATGCTACACCTGGCAGATAATCCTGACTCACTCCATGTGTTCATTGCTTTCTACATATGATTTGCAAAAACAAAAAAAAATATATATAAAAAATCTCAGGGCATATAACCAAATCCGTTTTGTTTTAGCTTCGGTTACTCCTTGTATTAGGCCCATTCGTGGAATAGCGGGATAACCTGGACGGCGGAGGACATGTGGGTGTGAGTGATGGTGCAGGCCAGAGAGGAGTCCTTGCACTACAGGTAATGTACTTTGATCACGTGTGCTCATGACCGACTGCTACAAGATTAATCCAAGTGAAACTAGTGGTTTTCAGTTGAACCATTTCCTCTCTGGCCAGTTCCATTACCTCACCCCAAGGCACCACCACCGCCGCCGCTTCGACCTAACACCCGACCCATCACCTGACCTGCCCTGACCTGACCTGCAGCTCACTACATCCCTCTTGCTCTCAGTATTTGCCTTATATGAAACTGAACAGGGTCGAGCAGTGTATTACAATAGAAATGTGTACACTTAATATCATATGTCTTTCAGTACTGTTTTCAGCTAAACGGCGGCGTTGTTTTATACTGTTTTCTTGTACGGTATCTACTTCTGACGCCTGAACTCGTGTGTCCACGCAGCAGTGAGGTGAAATGCAGGTGGCACTGGGCACTGACCTCGTGTGGCCCCCTATCTGCTGCCCTCTGGCTCTTGCACCCTTGATCTCCTAGGCTGACATGCCACACTGTACTGGGAGCCAGCCAGGGTGCCAAGCTGGGGATGCCGCCGATTAGCAGACTGGAGCCTCTGCAGGTAAAGAGAGGACTACTGAGGTGACTGGTGATGTAGCAATCGGAGCAGTAGGTCAGCTCAACAGTGCCACCTGCAAACACAAGCTTGTGGGCCGCCTCATCATCTCGGTGAATCTTCAGCGTTAGCATTACAGCTAGTCAGTGCAGGAGAGGTTACTCGTACTTTACAGGGGGATTGTGTATTAGGCACAGATTTACATATCATTGTTCTTCACGTGTCACTATGTTCGCGTGTAGTTACTAGTTGTACACGTGACCCGTCCTTACCCCGATATGGATACGGACAGTATTACTTAAGTGCCAATTATAAAATGTTAACCTAGTGCCAACTTAATGCCAAATCTTGCAGCATCAGTGATGCTGGGTGCGTTAGTTTGTCCATGTTTGGGAAGGTCGGGCCACGAGTGGCAGGCAGCCGGACAGGGCATGGTGTTATTTGGGCCATTCGCAGTTATATTCGCCCACAGTGTGGGAGGCTCATAGCTGGCCATGGCATGGGGCTGCTGCTGCTGCACCCCCCAGTGTTACATGCCCACAGCGTTGGAGGATGGTTAGCAGAAACATCTGTTGAAGTCCTCTAAGCAGCAGGTAGCCTAGTATGGGCTGCAATACCTGGGAGAACGCTAGTACAATGAGAACAGTGCAGCCCCACACCATCCGGCCAACGCACCCGCCCTGAACAGCTCCCTGACATATTCGCCATCTTTACTGAGGAAAAGTGTTTCACAATTTTAATGTTATGGCAATAAATATTTCAAGGATGTAAGCAGTTAATGATTTTTTATTGATTGTGCATATGTGTCTTGTCTGACACAAGTATTGTTTGAGTTTAAATAAATCATCAAATTGATCTTGTTTTTTTTATTTTCATTTGCAAGGCATCTTTAGATTTATTAAATCGCAACAAAAAGAAACATTAAGTTGAACATGAAAAGTCATAAGTGCGTATTTTTACAAATGTACATGTTCATTATTCTAAAATAAATAACCTCAAATTTGTTCCGATCAAAGTCTACTGTGCTATTGGATTAGACTTTTTAAGAGACGCTGATAGATTTTTAGTGACAGCTTTTGAATATGACTAGCTACTGATTTTTTTTGTAGGGTTGCTAAGCGATTCAAATATTGTGATATGCATAAGGTCCCAAGTCCTGATTGTATGATTAACAACTCTCCAGAGTATTTAAGTTTGCATTATCAATCCTATCTGCATTACTCCAAATATTTAAAAAACTACTGTGCAACCAACTTAACTTCTACCTAGTTAAACCATGATATTGTCTTTTTAAGGTCTTTGACACTGTTAATCGCAATAATCTTGATAAACTACATTTCACTGTAGCTTCCTATAAAATATTTTTTTTTGCCTCTGTGACAGGCACCAGTCGGTGAACGATGCTACTTTTCCCAACATGCCAATTAATATTAGTCCACTCCTCTCTCGTCACCTCTAATTCAAATTTAGATCTTGTGTTTCTTGGTATTAAGCGTCAGAATAATAGGGTTGTATCATCAGCAAATAGTTTTAGGTAAGCGTGCAAATAAATGCAAATACCATTTGGTAGGCCATTGATACATATCAATGGCCTACCAAATGCTATGCAACGCTTGCCTAAAACTATTTGCTGATGATACAACCCTATTATTTTGACGTTTAATACCAAGAAACACAAGGTCTAAATATGCCGACTAGCAAACTTGCACTTAATTAACATTGAAAAACCGTTAAAAATTGTTTGGAAATAGGCCACCCAAATAGAAATAAGAATAAATTACCCAAATTGTGAGCAGAGCAGAAGGGAAATTCCCCGGTGTTTACATTGATAATACACTGAACTTCAAGGTATAAAATATATATGAACTCTGTATCTGCGCCTGGAGATCTATATCTTTAAACTACAATCTATAGAACTAAATTACAATACAAAGCCTGACCTTAAGAGCTTGCAACAGAATTGATGGGCACCTCACAGGGGAAACAATTAAATATCTTTTATACTCCAACAGTACAACTTGACCAAAGCAGAAATGCCATGCTAGTAAGTAATTATCAAAAGAAGGCACCAAACCGGGAAGGCTATGTAGCACCATAAAATGTGTGGTAAATATCACCAAGGATGCCAATACGAGAACAGAAACGCATAGGGCGAACGATATCAAAAGTATTCGATTCATGAATTCTATCTAGGAACAAGTGACCGCGAGGGACAGTCGGAAAGCAAGACACGCTCGTCCTGGAAGTCGGGACATTCAACAAGGATATGCACGATATCCTTGTTGAATGCTATATCTTGCTCTGGTTAGGCCCCATTTAGATTATGCAGTTCAGCTTTGGTCGCCGTACTATAAAATGGATATAAATTCACTTGAACGTGTCCAGCGTAGGATGACAAAGTTAATTCCCCAAATTAGAAACCTGTCATATGAAGAGAGATTATCTAAGCTTAAATTGCATTCACTAGAAAGGCGAACAGTTAGGGGTGACATGATAGAGGTTTACAAGTGGATGAATGGACATAAGGGATATTAATAGGGTATTAAAAGTATCAACAAGACAGAACACGATGCAATGGGAATAAATTAGATAAGTTTATGATTTAGGAGAGACTTGGGTAAATACTGGTTGGGTAATAGGGTTGTGGATTTGTGGAACCAATTACCGTGTAACCTGGTGGAGGTGGGGTCCCTCGATTGTTTCAAACGTGGGTTGGACATGTCCATGAGTGGGATTGGGTGGTTATGAATAGGAGGTGCTTCGAATGGGACAATAGGCCTTCTGCAATTACCATTGTTCTTATCTTCTTAAGAGAGGAAGATTTTAGGGTAAAGTGGGAGACTGCAACAAAGGGCAAAAGAATGCAGTTCAGCTAAAATATTGTGTCTCTAGGTGATATTAAGCCTTTTCCAGTTCAAAAAGAACTGCTACAGTGAAGGAATTCGCAGCAAATGCAGTACAAATGTAGACCTCTAAATCCACTGTTTTCAGTCGTGCTGCGACGCGAAAGTTAAATTGAGAGGGCGCGCGGTAGTAGTGATAATCCAGGAACCACACGATATTTATATTTACCATACGTTCAAAGTGTTTACAGACAACTTGTCAGGGCAATGGGACTAAAGTCTTTAGGGGAAGTTCCTCGAGTACTGGGTTTTCTAATGGGAAGGGCAACCATCTCGAGTCAGTCTTCGGGGACCAATGTTGCCTCCCAAATACAATTAGATATGCAGAAAATAACCTATGCTAAATTATAGATAAAATTTTAGTATATAATGTTAATATATAAAGGAAAACAAAGCTACTTTGAATATACAATACGTTAAAATTTATTACTGCTTCTTGGGGGGGGGGGGGGGCTGCAGCAGCTTGAACGAGCTTAGCATGAGATCGAGATGCGAGTTGACACTAAAAAATGAAACCGTTTTGCCTAACCTATCGAACCGATTTTTAAGAATTGGTTGCAGTTTGAAAGGCTTGATAGATTGCTAAAATGCGACGTATTAGGTGAGAGGACAGGTTGTACATGCCGTAAATCTAAAAAAAAATAATCACCTAATTTAAGCCAAGGGACAAAAACGACTCTTGTATTTTATTTTATAACTCAGTTTAATACCTATTAGTGTATGAAGAGCGTAGGATGCATTATTTATTTGATTTTTTATTTAAATAAATAAGATAGCAACATTATTGTAGTTCACTGGACGAGTGAATGTATGAATATATCAGAGTTTCTGCATGAATATGTATGAGATGGGGTTCGTGAACATGGGTGAGTGGCATCATGAACATGTATGAGGTGCTCAATGAACATGCACTAGGGGCTTCATGACTAAATCATAATCATAACAGGTAGGTAAGGAACTCAAGCTATCGAAAATGGTGGGAAGAAAAATAAATATAAAGTGAGAAAAATAGTTTTGTGAAGGAAGCCTAACATTCCCACCAGCCTGATGAGAACGGCATACCTAAGGTGAATCGAGGATGAGAAACAATAATCGAGTGTTACTAAAACACGGCCTGTGAAAGTCGTCCTCACCAGACATAGGTCACTAGAGGGCATGGTTCATCAACACGAAAACTAGAAAAAATAAAGCGAGTGAGAGGGAGGGCGGGGGGGGGGGGGTGTTAATAGCGGGTTAATGTCTAACCTACACTTGAAACAATTCAGCGATCCTGCGTCTGTTACCCGATAATTTGTTCCAGTAATCAACTCTGTTTAAAAACTACTATTTACCCATTTTCTGAAGATTATCCTGAACAAATCTGTCGTCCCTGTAGTTAGGATTTCTCATGCCTATACTGCACTGGAGGATGAATGGTGCGAGGAGGTGAATGTTCAATCTCCAGGTAGGGCAAACAACAAATAAAAGAAGGTAAGGAAATTGAGTTTTTTGGCGATTCCCAGTATTTAGATACAGCTTTTTGTGTTATCACACAAAATCACGCTCAGGAGTCAAATTTCCGACATTTCAGACATTTTGAAAACTGCAGGGGGGTTTGGGCAAAATATGAACCATCGCCGTTTTCAGTAATTGGCATATTTTCGGTATAAAAAGTCGTAATTTGAAACTGAAAATAGGTCCAGAGAGTCAGAATTCGGCTCAAAAATCACGCTCAGGAGTCAAATTTCCGACATTTCAGACATTTTAAAAACTGCAGGGGAGTTTGGGCAAAATATGACCCATAGCCGTTTTCAGTAATTGGCATATTTTCGGTATGAAACGTCGTAATTTGAAACTGAAAATAGGTCCAGAGAGTCAGAATTTGGCTCAAAAATCACGCTCAGGAGTCAAATTTCCGACATTTCAGACATTTTAAAAACTGCAGGGGGGTTTGGGCAAAATATGACCCATCGCCGTTTTTAGTAATTGGCATATTTTAGGTATGAAACGTCGTAATTTGAAACTGAAAATAGGTGCAGAGAGTCAGAATTCGGCTCAAAAATCACGCTCAGGAGTCAAATTTCCGACATTTCAGACATTTTGAAAACTGCAGGGGGGTTTGGGCAAAATATGAACCATCGCCGTTTTCAGTAATTGGCATATTTTCGGTATGAAACGTCGTAATTTGAAACTGAAAATAGGTGCAGAGAGTCAGAATTCGGCTCAAAAATCACGCACAGGAGTCAAATTTCCGACATTTCAGACATTTTGAAAACTGCAGGGGGGTTTGGGCAAAATATGACCCATCGCCGTTTACCGTAATTGGCATATTTTCGGTATGAAACGTCGTAATTTGAAACTGAAAATAGGTGCAGAGAGTCAGAATTCGGCTCAAAAATCACGCTCAGGAGTCAAATTTCCGACATTTCAGACATTTTGAAAACAGCAGGGGGGGTTTGGGCAAAATATGACCCATCGCAGTTTTCAGTAATTGGCATATTTTCGGTATAAAAAGTCGTAATTTGAAACTGACAATAGGTGCAGAGTCAGAATTCGGATAAAAAATCACGCTCAGGAGTCAAATTTCCGACATTTCAGACATTTTGAAAACTGCAGGGGGGTTTGGGCAAAATATGACACATCGCCGTTTACAGTAATTGGCATATTTTCGGTATGAAACGTCGTAATTTGAAACTGAAAATAGGTGCAGAGAGTCAGAATTCGGCTCAAAAATCACGCTCAGGAGTCAAATTTCCGACATTTCAGACATTTTAAAAACTGCAGGGGGGTTTGGGCAATATATGACCCATCGCCGTTTTCAGTAATTGGCATATTTTCGGTATGAAAAGTCGTAATTTGAAACTGAAAATAAGTGCAGAGAGTCAGAATTCGGCTCAAAAATCACGATCAGGAGTCAAATTTCCGACATTTCAGACATTTTGAAAACTGCAGGGGGGTTTGGGCAAAATATGA